TTATTAAGAATATTAAGAATTATTACTATACCATATTTTCTAAGTTAAAAAGTTCTGAAAATTCTGAATTGACAACTTTTAAACTTTTCTACCTGACAGTAACCTTTTGTACCTCCAAATAATGGAAAATCAAATAATATTTTCTATATTACACAATCTTTAAAGAATATACTCTAAAACATAAATAACATTTCAAAGAATGTAGTCTATTCTGGAGGCTAATCTTTGATGATCTTACTGACTGCATAAATTATTCCCTGTCTTTTGGCACAGATGTGATAGCTGGTTGTATGTAAAAAAAAAATCAGAGAAAGATGTTAAAATTCAAAGGCATCTATAGTTGTCACTGAGATCTAAAGACTGAAAATGAGAATACCGAGAGCAATCCTAGTACTAAGCCCTGGAAGATGATACAGTACATATGCAAGATTTCATGCTGGTCTTTCAAATGAAGAGAACTGATTTACTATCAACTTGCTCAACACAAATTAAACAAACATGTCAGCAGACTAACACCATTCATTCTGTATATCCTTCTGGAAATACAGGTAGAGAGGCTTACTCTGCATAATTTATGGTCTCCATACAGTACAATATTGAAAGAGTACAGAAACGGTTGTAAATTCCTGATGAAATGCAAGCATGCCTGTTTACTATTAAATGTGATTTACTGCAGTTACATGTGCTTTGCCTTTCCCACCCACTTTGCAATTTTTGTACAAGGTACAGGGGTTTTAGACAAATAACAGTATAAGCTTTTTATTCAGAGTAAGTGCAGAATAACTTGTATATCACATTATCACCTATCTTTTTGGATCTCCCTTTAAGCTGTATAGCCTATTTGTATATATCTTCAGAGTACTAAACAAAGATTTGAAATGAAGCTGAACATTTCAAGGAGATGATAAGCAAATAGCACTTCAAAACTGAAAATAGTGTAAACCTATCAGCTACTTTATATAAGATGTATAAGGAAGACATGCTATGCAGATTATGCCACATATAAACACTTTCTTAAATACAGAATATTTTGTGACAGTATGGAGATAAACAGAACCACATTTTATCACATAGAATGGGAAATCTGTATCCAAAACTAATAATTCTGATATTTGTGTGGTTGTGTATAATGCATTTTTATATTGCTATTAACATGCAAAGCAGAGTTGCAGAGCCTAATTACCACAAAATGTTATCAACTGCTTGCATGTATTAGTCTATGGATCTGCATAAATTTGTGAGTAGTTCACCAGGCACTTTACTCAGACATAAACCTGATTTGTGGTAACTATCAGGAGTCAGGAATTTGCTTTCCTTAAATCTTAGTTTTACCTAGTGATTAGCATAATTTATGTCCAAAAATCTCAATATTTGGAAAGCTAAGAAAAAGGGAAAAAAATGTATTCAGGAAAGCAATTCTTACTGAATGCTTGTTTGCAATACAGTGGGAGCTTCTTGTTCATTTTCAAACTCCCTGCTTTCCCTTCTCTACTCTGATGGGTTTTACCATTTTGCAGTGTTATGCTTGCCCAGCAGAAATGCAAGTATCTGCTTAGCCAGGATGGTTTTATTAGCTGTTTTCATAAACTCCTTTCAAATAGTTTAGGCATGTAAAGTGAGCATTGCTGAGTTTAATAGTGTAGTTTTTGTTTTCACAGTATTGTAACATGCACTTTTTATAACCTACATAGACTTTCTTGATGGAATGTAGTTTTGTTCTGCCTTCACTTGTGCTTTTCTCCTTTGTAACCACAAGTACATATCTTATCTGTTAGATACTGGCTTACTTTGGCTCTAGTCCTGGTTCCAGATTTGGTTTGTCCTTCCCCCACTGCTTCTCTTCTGTATAGGGTTTAGATAGAAAAGCTTATTTTCAGAGCTTCCCTTACAGTTTGTTTTCTTAAGTATTCATTAAAGTTAATGCTTTATGCTTTGGGTTTTTTAAGGTGTTTTATGCTTTCTTCAAGCAGCTGACATAGAAGTGTATGCCTGGATTTTTACCAATACAGAATTGAAGTTTGATCATTAGCCCCTCACTATTAGGTTGACATTGACAGTTTAGACACTGATGATTTGCATGGATACTAATTGAACTGATGGGTCTTGAGTGTTGTTATACTAGCTAAAGTTGTGTATCAATGTTAAACTGTCAGGCAAAATTCTACCTGCATTTGATTGCTGAAGCAACACAGCAATAAATACATTCCTCAGTATTTGCATGCATAAACTTCACCCTGTTATCCTATTTGGATAATAAATAGCTGGCCTCTTAGGAACTGAGCATACTAGGCATACAGTGGAAAGTGTGAATTCAACCTCTCCCTCACCCTGTTACACTATCTCAGGCTATGATGGGGACTGAGTAATCAAACGTAACTTTCACTCAGTTTTAGGAACTATGACATCCAAGTACCAAGAATCTAGAAAAACAACCCCTCCTGACCAACTTTCTAGGAAATAATACAATTTCATTAATAACTCTTCTAAGAACAGCTGCTTAAAATCAGCACAGATGCCTACAACTATTTTTACAAATGCCCAGTCCTGTCACAAAAATCTTGCTTTGTAGCTTTGCTTGTTCTACTTCTGCACCCAATAAAGTTTCCATAATTTAACAACTTCATTTCAACTTCTGATATATTTCAGTTTTGAATAGATTGCTTTTCCCATGCAAGTTAAAAATCTCACCTCTTTTTAGAGCTGTAGATGTTCAATTTCACATTTTCTTGAAAAAAGAGTTTTCTTATGTAGAGAGTGTGTCAATCCACATCAGGTTGGTATAAGTCCTTTCATGTCCCCATTGGAATATAAATTCTTGGGTTTTTTTTCCTTCAAAATATTTTTGCATACACATACATTGATCAATATATCTACATGACTATATCAAAGAGTAAAGTGCATCAAAGATTTTTAATGACCTAGCTGTAAAATGTACAATGCAGCCTGTAATGCTAAATCAAATGCAGTGTTGGTATTTTCACTTTGATACTAATAACTGTGAATAGCCATTATTTTATGAGAAAGAGAGAAGAGAGGAGAGAAGGAGAGAGAGAGAGAAAGAGAGAGAGAAAGAGAGAGAAAGAGAGAGAGAAAGAGAAAGAAGAAAGAGAAAAAGGAGAAAGAGAGAGAGAAAGAGAAAGAAGAAAGAGAAAAAGAAACAGAGAAAGAGAGAAAGAGAAAGAGAGAAAGAGAGAGAGAAAGAAAGAAAGAAAGAATAAATACTGGAATGTGAGTAGCTGCTGCTGTCTTTTAAACACAGTCCTTATTCTTGGGCAATGTTCAGGATATTCAGTATTGTCATTAGTTTTTAATTGTAGTTGCTTTGCTATTTTCATTCTAAAGACAGAAATATCACTGAGCCATGAAACCCTCAGTGTAAGTCTATTTCAAATGACATACACAGCAGGTATGATAAAATGTCTGTAGTCTTCCTTTCATAGAAGTGCTTTCTCTTAATTGCCTTTTCTGCTGTTAAGAGCCCTGAAAATAAAGCTGAATGGGAGTTCCTTTTTAGGCAGATGATTAAACATTCTCACCCTTATATAATACAATTTCCATTTTATTTTAAACATACTTTGCATGATATAAAAATATTGATCACAGTGAGCTTTAACAATTGTTACTGCTATAAACAGAAATGCTGCACGATGGTTTTAGTGGAAATAAATTATATAGTCATTATCTCTTAAAAAAATCACAAGAAGGAAAACCTAGGCTGTTTGGTCATTGGCAGAAAATAAGTCCTTATTGAGTTCTTTACAAAACATGAACCCCAGTTATTTTCTACATTTGCTTTCCACATCTTGAGAAAAGCACGAGTCTGTCTCTGAAAGCCCCACAGGGTCTCTGGTGAACATTAAATTCCAAATATTAGCAAAGTTTCTGTTGTTCTTTTGTTCTAACGGAAAAATGTACACCAACATAGCAAGCAGTGCTCTCTTGGCTAATTCAGCAGTGGTCTTTTCCAATATGTGGGTACACAGCGGCAGACTTCTTCACTGAAATAAAATCCAGCATCGCAGCGTTTCGTTCGCACTGTACACGGTGGTCTGTAACAACTGAAAAAAGAAGTGGGCATTAATATAACATGATCATTTATATTTACCTGGAGCAGAAATCTTAGTGCCTTTACACTACCATTTCTCAATGGGATGTTTAATTCCATATATTTAAACTTCTTTTTATGTCCTTGCAACTAATTTTAGTTGGACTATTCTTCACAAAAGACAATGAAAGAATAATGAATGCTACTGAAGACAAATTATTCTACTGCAACAGATAAATACTCTAACACATTGCCTGGTTATAGTCACATTCTTATCTTCAGTAGTAATTTTTTAAATTAAATTCTGAATAGGATGAAATTTTTCCGTAATCAAAATGGCTTGTTATGACCTACTACCGCTGATGTGGTAATCCAGAATCAAACGATAATAAAATCTATCATCTTTTTACCAAGGAGTATTTCTCACCTTATTCACTACTGCAATTACCCTGAGAGAGATTTGCCTACTTATGTTACACTGTGACTCTGGTCTTGAAAATGAGAACATCCTTTCAAGCTGCAAACTCTCACACTCTTTGAGGCTAGTGGGGATACATTCACCCTTCATATTGCATATCTGTGCATTCTGAAGAAAAAAATCAGAACCTATTTATGTTTTCTGATAGATCCTAATGGAAAAAGAACAGAATTAGTGCCCGCTTCATTAAAATTAATTTAACAGAAATAGAGCATTGAAATCACAAATCACATCTACCTAAGAAGCAGCAGAATTTTTCTTCACTGATTCCTTGACTGAAAAATAGAACTTAAACAAAGATAATATCTGTGGTTGTCCCTGAACCCTTCCTTTTCCTATTTTATTTTTCTATTAAAACAAGAGCTTGACCTAAAATAACCTTACAATAACAATGCTAAATACTTTCTGGTGTATAATGGAGACAAAGTACAAGTCTGGGTTTTTTTTCAGGCACTGGCAAGGAGTCAAAAGACAAAAGTATATGTTTTGAATTGCAGCACAGTTATACTTAAAACTTGCACTTAAATAATATGTGCCTGATTGTGAAACACTGATATTATGATCTACCTCTATAATTCATACTTACATACATACAGTATGCTATATTAAGGCAATGTCACTCTCTTCTTCCCTAGGTAATTCTTGTTTCAGCCTTGTGGCTACTCTTACTATTGTTGTAGATAAGTTAGTATGTTGTGTGCTTATTCTGGGCACCAAGTTACTACTTTACAAAATTTGTTTATGATATGAGGTCTACATTACACTTACATTCATTCACACCAGTTAGTTCAACCAATGAACCTGGCTATGAGGAAAACAATAAAGAATGAGGAAGACAGCAAATATGACATTTATTAACTAGTCACATCTTGTTCAGTGTTTTCACTGTCTTTCATCATAGATTAGTTCACCAGTGTGGTCTCTATAATTATGGGAGTAACATTAGTTTGTGCCACTTAATATAAATATTTGAAGTCAGTGTAGCCTACTGATCTTTTCCCCAAGAAAGTTTGGAAACAGTGGTAAAAGGCAACAAAAATGTGAAGGTATCTAATATTCTCCACTCCATAGAGATGCAATGAATGAAACACTGAACTAACCTTTTTGCCTGTCTCTGACATGGAAGTTCAGACTATTTCATGTACTGAATGACAGTAAAATGAAATAAGAAGAGGCAAAGCCAAACTCTTCCACATACCTATGGTTGTACATAATGAAAAGCAGCCACGTAGTCATTAAGTATGAGGAATTCACTTTGTTTAGGATTCATGCCTTTATGTGAACTACAACTTAATTCAGAGTTGAAAGTGCTATACAGCATGTCTCCCACGTGAGCTTGCGTCTAGCAGCAATCAAGGTCAGGTTACCGCAGTCTTATGCTCATTTGGGACGTTTCAACAGAGCAAAAAAATCCCTCTCCTCCTCTAAAATGCTTTGCAGATGATGTCCCTAGTTATCTGCCCCTGCCAAAACTGACCAAAATAAATTTTTGAGGTGATAGCACAGGGTGAATAGCAGTAGAGTCATTGTAACTACATAAATGTGGTTTCCTTAGGAAACTGGTGAACAATAGACCAGGTCTTTCAAAAGATTTGGGCTGAATGCTGTTTATGGAGTGTTTTCATGTGACAGATGTCTGTTTTGATGAGGATAATCTGAGTATGCTGGAGTTAAGAGAGATGTTCAGTCACTATACACAGTGCTGGACAAGTCAGTGGCAACTTTCTCTTCATGGTCAGTAACAGTCATTTTTTTTGCTGCAGAATGCCCAGACTGTCATTGTGGGCAGTCTAACAACCCACAGATGAAACCAGTAGAAATGCTACTTCTAGAGCTGATAACAGCATGATCACCTTAAAAGCCAGTATGCTTTTCTTTTTTTTTTTTCCCCCTTTCTTTTTTCCCATCCTGTGTTTTGTAGATGACTTTGCATTCATGCAGGGTATAACACTAGAGGCAGAGGCATTTTAGGTACAGCTGATAAAAATATCAGTGCTTCAAAACCAGAAGCTACAAGGATCACTTGTCTCCACAGGGAGCTGTCTAGCACATAGCTACATGACTCTGCCCATGTCTGCACACAGTTACGGAGTGGTACCTTTATTTATATGATCTCGGGATCTTTCTTTCAAAGACAAACAGGATGTTGTAGGATTTTTATTCCTTTTAGAGATAGCTTGTGCTGAACAGAGCCAAAAAATGAGAAACCTAAGCCCCTTCTGAAATAGGAGAGATTGCATCCTCTAGTTTCCTTGATGATGCTAACATCTACAGGGCTACTGGTTGTAGAGTAATACAATACACAAATCTTTCTTTCTCCATACACAGACAAACTGCTTAGAAAAGACAAATGCCTAAAAGCAGCCTATATCACACTGTCCTTGGAAGTGAGAAAGTGATTCAAACTTTTTATCGTATTCAACCACAACACAACAGAGAAAAGATGAACTCAAGTCCCTCCTTCAGATACCAAGTCTATAAATCAACACAGGCAGCATCAGATATTTATTATGGCATTTCTTAGCTTTTTAAATGCCTGACTTCACCAGGTGAATGTTCTTTTAAAAAGCAGGTGGTTTGTATTTGTAGCACTGCTGGAAGTGCACTCTAAACTATTGCAAAGGCTTTGTAATATGCAAAGCTTATGTAATCAGGTTGCTTTCTTTTCCTCTGCAAACATAAAATTCAAATTATATCATCTGAATGATCAAGAAGAAATAATTTCTAGTGTTTCTAACAACTCTATTTCATTCAAAAGAGCAAACGTCAGAAAACAGGTAATGCCAATTATTATTAATCTTTTCACCTATTTTAGAGACTTTAACATGTCACTCCTAGTATCAGACATTTTTGCATTATTCAAGATGAACTCATGTATATATAGATGGCAATATATTTACTCCAACTAACTACCTGTTATATTAAAAAATACATAAGGTTTATTTTTGCTAAGCAACACATTACTACTGACATTTAAATGTCCCAATTTGCTATTTCCATTTCCAGTGCATGAATTGTTATTTGTCCTTGGTATAATAGTAATAAGTCCCCTGTATTAACAAATAAATAATCTTTCGACTCCAAATGACATTGTTTCTGGCTTAACAAAGTTATAAGAGAACTGACTTGTAAGAGAACTTTCCTCAGATAATATACAAAGCAGAAATAATATTGTTTGTTTTGCAGAACCTAAAGTCTTCCACATTTTTATATATAGATTGCTAATGGTAGTGTGCTACATCCACAGCATTAGCAGTCATGGAGGGAAAAGGTCCTGTGACATATTAAAAAATTGAAGAGTTTTCTTCCAGACCAAATCTCATTTCAAATGATGAATGTCGGCACTCTGTGTTATAGTTACATATGTCTACTTTTCACAGAATCACCTAGAGTGGCAAGACTTTTTATGCACTCATAGTCTTTCAGTATAAGTTGAAGGAAATGAAGGCTATGCAAAAATTTAGGAAGTGAAAATTAATGGCGGTACCTCCAGAACTAAGCCCTGAAATCTAATTAGGAATATTTGAGTTTTTTGAATTGTAAGATTCTGTGCTTGGGAAAGACAGGAGGATTTTAAGTAGCATAAACCAGAGGGAGCTTACAGTTCATTTTCACAAAGGACAAAATCAAATTCGCACGAAGTATAAGAAACTAAACATGCTTTAAAAAACTTATTGTGCCTAGTAGTTTCCTCTTAGAGATTATAAATGTCATATGAGATAAAACTGAAGACAAATTTACTGTTTACTTAAGACTACAAAGCAATTCAACAGGACAACTAATGCTGCAACCCAAAACTTTATACTTTAAACATGATGAGGGAATTAAAGACAGTTTTTACCTGCATGTCTGGTGATGAAACCTTTTTCCTTTTAAGAAGCATTTATTGGGAGATTCTATACATTCACAGATGCATTTTGCAGGATTTAGGGGCTGATATTTAGGACAGGTCTTTTTACACACACACTGGCACTTTTCTTCATCAAATTCCTTGTTGGGCCCACATGAAGCAGGGATAAGTTTGTTTTTGCACATGCACTGACATGATGATCTGTCTAATTCTTTGTGAGGTCCACAGCTTGAGGGCCGCACACCTCCTTTGCAGACACATTGACAGGTTTCTTCATCCAGCTCCTTGTTGGGTCCACAAATATGGAATCCTTCAGATGTGTCTAGAAATACAGCAGAGAAGTCACCCCATTACCAGAATCTTTTTTATGTGAAGTAATGACAACAAATCCATAACTTTTAAGGTCCTTCAAGAACAAGCATATGTCAAAAGACAGGCAACAACTAGTAATAGTATCGATACAGAAAAACATACAACTAATTACTTCTCATGTTTTTATTTTCTCCTTTAGGTGAATTAAAGCATGGAACTATGTTTAATTCTTTAAGCAAACACGCTTACCAGTATCTCCAGTGTGAGAAGAGAAACCAAAATCATGCTGTGCCAAACATCTGCAAATTTGATTATTCCAAATATGATTTTTTGGACAGGTCTTGTTTGCCACATGACACCTGTGGAATTAAATGCACTGTTGATTTACTACCGTAAGAATTCAAGTCTAAAAAGAATCAGTTTTAGGTGTTGATTGCTTTAGTTTCTTTCCATTACAAAAGTCTTTCTAAGGGTGTCAGCTCATTCATACTCTTATTTGTAACTCCTATCAAATCTGTTATTAATTAACATTCTCCCCACTACAAGGATCTTCAACCACTTGTTGAAGAAACCTTCTCACATTTCAAGTTTTAGCTGAAACTTGTAGAAGCTGATATATGTACTTTGCTAATGTGTTTGGAAACAGATCTAACCCTAGAGCATAAGCCTTGTATAGAAAATAGAACAGTATAAAAATATTTGCATGCCAAATACTGCATAGATGTTAGTAGGCATAATTTTCTACACTGTTTTTTTTTTTAAGTACAAAAATGTTTTCACATGTAAGATGTCAAAAGACAGCTGATACTAGTTTCTGAATGAATGCTGTAGGCAAAACTTCAGTTTATCAGATTCCTTCCCCCCTTATGTGAAAGTTATGTGCCATTAACTGACACTTTCCCATCAGTCACTCAAATTCTGGACAGCTGTCTTGAACCTAAAGATTTGGACTCCAGCAGCTATGCCTCTTCACTTTCATAAGAAAAGACAATAAACAAATTAACACTTTAGTCCTCTTTACCTGCTAGAGTTTTTCAGCCAAGGTAGTGGTACCAAAGCAAGCTAAAAATCCAAGCAGCAGCTGTTGTCTTTTTAAAGAATGAATGAACTGAGCTAGTGGGAGAACCACAGGGAGAATATTTATATGTATTATTGCATCTTCCTTGCTTTCAAACTCTTCATCAGCATAGGTGATATGGCAACTTTGAACTAATCATGCCTAACTTCATGTATCCAGGCTGTGTCATTTATTCATTGTTTCTGCAGTATTTCTAAAATCCTCCTCATCTGTTAAGACAACACATTCCCCTGAGCACCATTACTCACACATTCAAAAATGCAGGTGCTGGGACACTCTTCCATGATCATCATTCAGGTACACCACTCCCCTTCAACACATTAAACCACTCTGCTTGTAAAGACTGCGGTAGTTTAACATCACCCTGCACAGCCTCATGTTTTAGCAAACTGGTGTTTTCAGATTTCATTCCACTAATGATCTTACTCTTGCTCCCTGACTTGGCATATGTTTCCTTTTGCCTGCCTCCTGATTCTGCTTGAGAAATAGTACAGATAATTTACAGACATATTATTGTATTCTGTTTTAGAACAAAAACCAAACCAGCTCATGCCTGGAGCAGCTTGGCTCTAGCTGGGACTGTGTAACTACAGAAGGAAGCCAAAGTGACAGTATGAAGAAGACAGCAAGCAAGTGTGAACTCATGAGAAGACAATGTTGATACAGACTCCCACCTACCAGACCTTGAACAAAATGATATGTATTTCAGCACTAGGGTTTGGAGACACCCAGAAAAAGAAAGAGGCACTGATTGTTTACATGCTCTACTCTGGTTTCTAGTACAGAAAATTGCCTGAACTTTTAAAATGACATTTTAGGAAAGTTCAGGAAGGCTAGAAAAAAAAACCCTGATGCAAAACCACTTTGCAGAAAATGTCATCACTTCTTTCCAAATCATTGTCAACTCAACAGAAAAAAAAATCATGGGAGAAAAAGGTCATGTTAGAGACTTGATCTAAATTATGTATATGGAAGGCTCCTCTGTTCCATCCTGCCTCTAATCACTAGACTTCTAAAACAGAGTAGCAATTTTGTAACTCAGTTGCATGTCTTGATGACATTCCCTATAAATAGAGAAAAGTACAACTTAAAATACCATTAATCCAGGAGGTATTCAGAAACACTGGTTAATGTGAACTGACATGCCTTAGCCTCACAAGTATATAGAGAGAGCTAATAGATTTTAGAAGGGGGAAAAAACTAAAACAAGTGGGAGAACAGGCAAAGACCTAGACCTTAATTCTCAGGATGAAGTTCTGCAGAAAATGTATTGTATATAAAAAATACTTATTATTATTATTTATTATTTGTATTCTTAGATGTTATTTCTCTCTTCTTTCTACCATGTGCCTGTGCATCTTGGCATAATCCAGCCTTGAATTCTATTAAATCCCAAATGTTAATACCTTAAAACCAGAGACTGTACTCTTAGGCTTTTCTTTGCAGTGACACATAAAAAAGGCATCATTCTATTAGTGTTAAAATGAGCATGTACATAAATACATGCACACATGCAGATCTGCCACTGTGGCAAGAAAGCAGCTTTCCACATTTTGGCTTAATAACAGCTTCACTAGCACTCAAATCTATAAATACAAATGTTAAGGAAAACAATACATTGAAAAGAAATTTAAAAACCCCACTTGGATACTGGGTGCATCCAGGCACCCACCAGGAACATGCAAATGTCTTTCTTTCTAGAATCTTTAAGCACTTGACTTAGTGTTTTATTGTTTTTTTTTTTTCTGTTTTATTGTACAACACTAAACTTCTAGACAGTACTTAGCAGTAGAAAAGGCCTACATATATTCTAATCTAGTACTGTTCTGTCTTATCTTTGCTGAAGCATGATTCCTTACTCACAGGACAGTCAGCCACCCATAAGTGCTGGTCAAAGTCTTTTATCTGTACACTTACCTCCCTCAACTACAGGTAGCTATTTTCTGGCTAGAATAAACTCTTGCACAGGTAATTGCAACTGTTCTTAATCTGGAAACACTGAGAAACTGGCAACAGTCAACATAATTTGAGTTTATTATTGACTCTTTGGTTTTGGTGTTGTTTTTCTTTAATCATCTGTTAATTATGTGATTAAACAAACTACTAATAGATTTACTACCTAACATATTTCTAATCCATTGTTTATGATCCATGTTTTGATGAACAAATGAAATAATTTGAATCCAAATAAAGTATAACCTGTGTTTAGCTGGAACACGCCATACAACATCCAGACTTAAACAGAATGAAAACACAGACAAAAATGCTTAGCTCAACATCTCTGGGAATTTTGCACTATTCACTCACCTTATTAAAAATGTCTACAATTAATTCCAGTTCTTCCTTAAAGCAACTGTTAGTCTATTACATATTTTTGGCCTCCTAAATATTTACATGTCATGAAATTAACAGTCAGACCTCTGAATGAAGGAAGGAGTCCTTCAAGTTTTTTAGTAACACTTGTTTTGGTGCCAAGATTTCTTCCCCGGCTTTTTTTCATTCAAAATCACAAAAAGAAATCGATATGCTAATTCCACAGAGTGCCAATTAACCCTTTATTTTCCCTTCCAATTCAGTTTTATTTTTGCCTCTGGCATATGAGACTGTTAGAAAAGTTAAAAGATTCCTAAAAAACAGGCCTATTTTAAAAAGGAAAACACAATTTGAGAGAGAAATGTTGTCTCCTCCTTATTAGCAAATGCAGGTATTTTTAGCTTAGCTTGAATCCTTTTTTTAATAAGAAATTCATTTTGTTATGTTTCCTTTAAGTCTCAATTGGATGGTAGCTCCTTCTTTCAAGCAAATTCCACAAATGACATTATTATTAATTTTAAAATTATCTCACTCCAGTTTATCTACTGGGTAGATACATGTTAATAACGTTAATTTAGTCACATTCTCTTCATGTAAAATAATGGCAGTTCCTTTGCAAGATGCATTGTGCTACTAATGTGTAGTGCTCCTACCAAGTTTACCTATCTTAACTATGAAAGCTTCCAGCAATACTTTAAGTCTAACCATATAGGCTTGCTCATAATGTGTAAGAAAGGACAAATCTCATACTTACTGAGTTTGTGTTGCTGGCAAGGAACGTCTTATGATGGAATGAACTTGTCTGTAGACATCCAGCTTGGACATGCATCGGCAGGATGTGTGATTGGCAAAACTGACCGTTACAGGTTTGGGGCCATGCGAAAGAGGCACCGTGATCTCAAACAACTACAAAAGGGAAAGCAAAGCAAAATACTTTATATAGATCAGTAACGATCTGACTAAAACCAATGTAAGGATGTACAAAAAAACCCAAACCTATAAGGAACTTAAGTTCAGTTTTTTATTCTCTTCCATCATTCGGTGGCATATTCAACTAAACTGCTAAATAATTATCACATGCAAAATTAATACAATAGATATGGTATGACAATCACAGTTTTCATTGTTAAACCCAGTTATATGCCTGTTTTCTTGCTATAACATTTAACACAAAAGTGGAAAATGTACAAAGAACTATTTTTTCTAGAGGATACGACTTCAAATTGGCAGCCTTTAAAAAACCCCAAACTCTAACATTTAGCATGTGCTTCGAAAAATTGAAAACCAAGAATAATATGAAAAAGGGGTAAGTTACAACCTCAGTTTCACAATTACAAAAACTTGTATTAAGAAATATCTCCTACTGACAAAATAATCCCATAAGTGAATTCATAAAATCCTAATTTTAGTGGGAAATACAGTTCAACTGGTGAAAGAGGACAACTTCAGCAATACCTTGTGGTAAAACTGAACATATCATAACAGACAAAGAGTGAGACTCAATTCAGTTTTCAATTCAGAACATCTACTTTATCAAATTAAGTAGGTTTTGCTGTAAGACTCAAATCTCAATAGTCTCTTGAAAAGTTAATTAGGACAAAATCATTAGGTCAAAGTCTTAAAAACCATTTTTTTATTCTAACTAGGACAATAGTGCACTGCTGCCTTTTAGGTGTGTAGTCATTCTTCCAAACACATTTAGGAACATTTCTGTATCTTCTGGGGACCTGGCTACCTTTAAAAACATGGTCATTGATTATTATACCAGTTCCAGTTGATAAGACTGTATAACAAGACTTTAATTTTTAGCCAAGGTCTACTTGCAAGGCTCTTTTATAATCAATAACTTTATAGTACAGCATATTGGCAGTATGCAAATTTAATCACAATATTGGTAATTTAAAATGCTTTAAATACAGCTACAGGATGTCTTGAAAACAGTACCTTGCACTGAAGTATGCAAGTGAGCCTGAGTACTGACAAATAGGCAGATGTAGTATTATGGGATGTATTCACCAAGTACCTGCATGGTAAAAGGACACTTGTGCAGCCAACATAAAAGCTCATTTTATTGATAACCTAAACTATGCAACTGAAACCTAAATTGTATAAAATATATCAACTCTAACAGATATTATCTATGTTACAAAACAAATTTTGACATCATTTAGGGATAGGATCTTTAAAAAGGTTTAATATTGTGAGTGTCATCATACAAGAACTGAAATGGCAAAAGTATTACATTTGTATTTTATTCTGCAACAGATGATTACAGTGCTATTATTTTTGCTACAAAAAGCACCATGTTCCTTATATAGCTTTAAATGTGTTAGTTTTCCTCACTAGAATCTAAAAATGCAAAATTATATATGTTTACTTCTATAGAAGGAAAAGGAAAAGAGAAAATAGCTTCTTGCATGTTTCAAATACTGAGGAAAAAGCTATCCATCTAAGGAACTACCATGAAAAAAGTTTCTCTTGTTAGACTTCTAGCCAAAGCATGTTAACACTTGGATTCTGGCTCCAGCTGCAAAATGAGCAACACTTCTTAAAATTTTGGTCTTGAGTCATTAATAATATAAAGGCACAAGTCTAGTTTAAAGCTCGGTACCAGTAAAATCAATGCCTAATTATCACCAGGCACACCTCCAGGGTTTTCACTAAATTCAACCCAGAATTCTGGAAGAAGACTTCTAATCAACTTTTTATTCTACTTCTACTTTACTTCTACTTTTTTGCTTTTCAGACCAATATTAGCTCCATTACCCTTATCTATTATAAAATTTCTTTTAAATTAATCACAAAAAGCATTCTTACCAAGATGCCTTATCCAAGAAGAGCAATAATCCCAACATGGAGCTATCTTTTTCATAGTAATACATTATATGAAGATAGCTTTATGTACTTATTAATTATTTAAAAAAGATCCAACTACTTGAAGGCCATCACAAGCTTTGTTATAATCCACAAACTAGGAAACTGGAGAGGAAGAAGGTAGTATTGTAGAAAGAGACAGAAAGGACCATGTTTATGAAAAATAACTTTCATTTCTGGCTACATTTGAGAAAAATACTTGCTGAGTTCTTTGAGTATATTTTTTAAACAGAGGACAACACAGCTGTTGAGACCTCTAAATATCCAGACAGTTAAGAATCTACATATGCAAAAGCTTTTACAGTATTTAATATTTTCTAGGAAAACTGATTCTTAGAAGACTTGTATGAATTGAGGGACAGAACAAAGAGTATGAACTTAATTACAATATTACATATGTAAATAGAATCTTGTTTTTTCTGCTGTTATGACAGATTGCTTTTGGGAAGCTGAAATAAAAGCTTGCTACAGGGATAAGTGACAAATCTTAGAAAGTAAAATAAGTGTGATTCTTTGACTGGACCAAACTGCAGCTGGAAAAAAGGGGCATGTTCTGTACTTCCTCTATTCTTGCAGCAGATCAGTTTACCATGCAGCAAAACATATCAGACTCCAGACTACTGGAGATGGCAGCATAGGATTATTGCTACATTTCCAAACCACTCAAAAGAGGTAGGTCCCTGTCTACCTGTTTGTTCAGCTTCAGGAGATCACTGAGAGAAATTCTACAAAACCAGCCAAGATGTACCAATTATGAGTGGAAATGATGGTGAACATCAATTATCTTAATTTACATTTATCCTTCCACTTAAACTGTGAAAGGTATCAGTTTAGAGATCAATATTGCCATCATGCCATTAGAGATCAACTATTCCCATTAATACTTCAGCGGTGCAATGAGAAAAGAGTCTAGTAAAATGATACAAATGTAGACCAGCTTCCTTCACCTCACTGAATGACCTTCAGTTGGTTCAACTAAATTCTCTTAATAGTAATGTATTTTACATCCCCCAATAGTAGCTGCTGTTTATACACAAAGTCAAAAACCTAGCCAACTATTTATATTAAAGATTATATTTGATATTAACATTTCCAGTCTTCACTTTTGTAAAGTGCTTAAGGCAATACATGAACTAGCATTTGAAAAACAATAGAAATCAGATCTATTTGCATTAATGGAAACGCTGGAAGTGAAATACTGGGGTTGGAATTACTGATTTGCTCTTCCCACACTTTTGTCTGCACATGCTACTGGGACACTATACTCTGATGCATACTGGAAAATGAGATATTTATTATCTTCTGATAATGAAGATACATCAAGAAGATATTTCACAAGAAATAGTAGTCTATTAAAGAAAATGTATTTAATACTCAGAATAATTCAGTTTAATTAATCCTTGGCATTTGGAAATAAGATCCCTTTGAAAGAAAAGCTATATTATACTCCCAGCTACAATAATGAAGCTATTTAAGTGTAAGTGAATAAACTCCCAACATACATAAGCTGTATTTGAATCATCATCTAAATAAAACATTTCAAATTAGGTAAAACGTGACCATGTGGAATGCTTTCTGGTTTTGATAACATCTCAATTTAGTTTTTGCTCATCTTCCTCATCCTGCTCCATCACAGGCATCTTATGGGTCACAGCTTCATCCAACAGAACAACAAGCTCAACATCTTCTGTAACTGTAGGGCATGTTTGGCAACATTCAACAGCAAAATGTCCGCATCTAGAAAGGATATTTCCATGAAAAATGCACCATAATATGAATATATGAGCCTGCTTCTTGACTCTTCTTCATTGACAATATTGTTGGCTGTGGCTACTATTGTTGGTACCCATATTGCCCAAACGGGTAATTCTTCTTGGATATCAGATAGCTTGTATTTCTGTCTGATCACTAATCCAGTAAAGGATTGGTTTTACTGCGTTCTTAGAGGCCCAAATCTTCTCTTCCTTTCCATCTTCAAACATAGCAAAAATCAGACTAATTTGCACTACAGGCAATAGGGAAAAGACATTTCCTTCAGGCACCAATCCCTAAAGACAGATATTCAGGACTAAAGACTACACAGAATGAGCTCCAGTCCCAGAAGAACATGAAATCTCATAGTAGTAGGGATTAGGGCAGTGTTTCCAAGGTGAAGAGCTTTTATTGCTCACAGTCTTCAGAAAAATGTGAGTACGGAATAAGGGGTATAATGTGCAGATTTGGGCTGGAGTAGAGTTAACTTTCCTCACAGTGGCTAGTATGGGTCTATGCTTTGAATTTGTGTTGAACACAGGGTTAAGAGCATAGGGATGCTTTCGTTATTGCTGAGCAGAGCTCACACAGAGCCAAGGCCTTTTCTGCTACCCTTACTGTCATTCTGGCAAGGAAGTTGGGGATGCATAGGAGATTGGGAGGAGACACAGCTGAGACAGGTGACCCAAACTGACCAAAAGGATATTCCACACCATAGGACATCATGCTCAGTATATAAACTGGGAGGAAGAAGGAGGAAGTTTAGGACATTTCAAGTAATGGCGTTTGTCTTCGCAAGGAACCGTTACGTGTGATGGGCCCTGCTCCCCTGGGGATGGCTGAACATCTCCCTGCCCATGGAAACCAGTGAATTAATTTCTTGTTTTGCTTTGCTTGTGTGTGCAGCTTTTGCTTTCTCTATTAAACTGTCTTTATCTCAACCCATGAGTTTTCTAGCTTTTACCCTTTCAGTTCTCTCCCCCATCCTGCTGGTGGGGGAGTGTATGAATGGCTACGTGATATCTGCTGGCTGGCTGGGGTTAAACCACAACAATAGTACATTAAACAGCAAATTAAAGTACCATTGAATGAGTATTGCTTGAGTAAGAGGCAAATACTAAAAAAAAATAAAATAAACTCTGCTTGCCCATACTGTCCTTCACCCTTTTGCTACCAACACCACATGTCAGGAAAACAGTGGAAAGCAATTACAGAAGTAACATGTGATCGCACAACTGAAGAGCATAATATATAACCCCCAAAAAATCAAACCACACAAG